ACTGTGTATACTCATCCACACATACTGGACTGTGTATACTCATCCACACATACATAGGACCGTGTATACTCATCCACACATACAGGACTGTGTATACTCATCCACACATACATAGGACCGTGTATACTCATCCACACATACAGGACTGTGTATACTCATCCACACATACATAGGACTGTGTACAGTGTGGCCATTATAAACACAACTGTGTCTAAGATCTGTAAAGGGAACCTGTCATTGTGCTGGGGCACATTCATACGATCTGCATAGACCAACACAAGCTTACCACTATTGCTTCCGATGTGCCTTATTCACAGCACAACGCTGCCTTGAGGCGGCTTGTGGTGCGTTGTGTACAATGCCGTATTTCTACGCAGCGCGGCTCACTGCCCCACACTGCAGCACTTTACAACAGGCCGCGGTGCATAGACCTGAATGAAGCGTCATTTTGTAACATATATATAAAGTTAGAGAAAAGTAAACAATGGCTTGCGCTGTAACAATGCAAAGCACTTCCCCTGAACCACGGACAGCGGGCCGCACGTGGTATAGCACGCAGGCTGCTGTGTGAACGAGCACTGGATGTTGTCGCTTGTGTGCGTTCCATGTGAGCAGCTTGCTTTAGGCTGGATTCTGCCTTCAGGGCCCATTCACACCAAATATGTTGGGGCCACGCTGGCTGCTTTCTCCAGGACAGCCCCATGCAAGACAAAGCAGTGCGCCATGTTCCAGCTCACACCACTGCATTGCGGCACGCAGTACTTTTATTCAGCGCAGCGGAGTACAAAAAAACAGTGCAATACGTCACGATCAACACTGTGCCGGGCAACGCACAACAGCGGCTGTGTGGTGTAGCATGGCTGCTCGTGTGAAGTGGCCCTTAGCGCATTCTAAATACACTTGAGGTGACGTGCGCTGGCCCCCATTTTTTAAGGCTTTGCCCTGCAGGGTTTGTTTCCCAGCAGGAACTGAAACATTCTTTTTCTCTCCTTAATGTGTGTTGCAGCGCAATGCAATGCGTTGTGAGGGCCCTGTCACACCATCAGGAGTGCGTTCCAGTGCGTTCGGCCTCTGGAACTCAACTCGGCCGGCTCACTTTGTTTTGGGGCGGGAGGGGGCGTGGCGTTGCATTGAACTTAATGGCCCCGCAGCCACTCCCCCCCACCCGAGGTGCGATCGCCGGCCCCCGAACGAGTGGCACATTAGTGCCTGCGTTCCGGTCCCGTGTGATCTACAAAAAATGCTGCAATCACTATTTGTTGCAGATCGCACCGGACCGGAACGCATGCATTAATGTGCCACTCGTTCGGGGGCCGGCGATCGCACCTCGGGCGGGGCACCGATGCACCGCTCCTCAAAAAAGTGAGCCGGCCAGGTTGCGTTCCAGAGGCCGAACGCACTGGAACGCACTCTTGATGGTGTGACTGGGCCCTTATGCGTTTAAATGCAGCGCGTTCCCCAACACAACGCATTGATTTGAACTTTAATTGGAAGCAATGGATTGCGGCTTGTTGTTGCATTGAGCCTTTGTTGACCAACGCACGTGGTGTGATTGGACCCTTAGGGATAGAACATGGGGGTCCTTGTTTCTGGAAGGGGGGGGCAGTTCCTCTATAAAGTAGAACTGAAGCCAGGATTTGTTTCTGTTTTGGATTGGGTAAGGGAAGGTTATAACCCCTGTCAGCGGGTTGTTGTTTTTTTTGCCATCTGTATCACATTGGAGAGATTTCCCTTCACTTCCTGTCTGATAGCAACAACAGGAAGTAAGAGAAAATCCCTCCAAAGATAGGGAAATCCCTGGCGGTCAGCAGGGTCACCAAAACTAGTGTCCCCATTGAAAGATTTCCTATCTATTCCTGTTCTGAGGATAACCCAAAACTTTGCAGAGATTTCCTCTCACTTCCTGTTGTGGCTATTGGAAGAGAGGGGTGATCTCCATTATCTCCATAACGGGGACACAGAGAGCAATAAAAACCTGACAAGCAGTGGTGACATGATCTCTGCTGAAGGGAAGAGAACGAGCCTGTGTGAAAGCAGCGGTCTCTCTGCAGAGATCTGACACATATCCTGCCTAGTTAGACCTAGAGCTCTGTAATTAGCAAAGACCGGGATAATGTCTCAGTACCTGTGATTGGCGCTGCGGCGCTGTCAGCTTCCTGGCGGGCTCGGCACGTGGAGCTGCGAACACGCCCGAGCCCATCACTAATCCACAACAGAAAGTGAGAGGAGATCCCTCCAAACTAAGGGTTAGTTCACACCAGAGACTGCATCACAACTGCGTGCGTCAGCGCAGTTGCATTGCGATCCGTTTTGACATGTGTGTGATGCGTTTTTTCCCCCCTGCACGTCCCTGGATGATGCCACAATCAATTCTGTTTTTTTTGTATGCGTTGCGTTTTGATGCGTTTGCACTGCGTTTTGTGCAGTTAGATGCAGGTAAAATAGGACATGCAGTACTTTTTCTGACTGCATCTGAACGGACTGCAATGGTGTGATATGAGCACAAGAAAGCCCACAGGAAAGCATTGGGATGCATTTTGGCTGCAGCAGTCAAATTAAACAGACGGCATCACAACTGCATTTGGTGTGAACTGGCCCTAAGGGAAATCCCTGGTGCTCAGCAGGGTCATCACTACTAGTGTCCCCATTGGAAGTTTTTCCATCTAATACTGTTCTGGTGACAACCCACAACTTTGGAGGGGTTTCCTCTCACTTCCTGTTGTGGCTATTGGACAGGAAGTAAAGGGAAAGCCCCCCAGTGAGACACAGAGGACAACAAATAGGCTGACAGGGGCTATAACCCCCCCTTACCATCCAAAACAAAATAGAAACAGATATATTCTGTTCCTGCAGATGAATTTGGATGGTGGATTCCTAAAACCAACTTCTGGGCTTTACTAAACACATTCATTTTTGCACATGTTTACAGCGTGTTAAAGTGAACCTGTGGTTTGCATGTAACAGGCTGATACTGACGTGTCCCTAACATGCAGAGCGGATGAAAAGTAAGGGAGTAAGGGAAAAGTAAGAGGGCCAAAAGCTCTTCCTGAAAAATAAAGAAAACCTTTGCCGGTGGGAAACCAACACTTCCAGGAGTGTCAATGTTCTATGTCCCCCCCCCGCAGCACTCAGTGGTTTCTTCCACAAACCTCCACTTTATTACAGGATACAATGATGTGGAGGTCGGTGGAAGAAACCACTGACCATAGAAGGGAGCCAAGGGAGGTCTACACTCCTAGAAATGTCGGTTTCCTTGCAGGTGTCAGAGGAGGATATTTATTGAGCGGAGCAGCTTCTGTGACAGGTAAATATTCACTCTCTTGTTTTTCAGGAAGAGCTGTTTGGCATTTCTTAGGGATACACCGATACTGTTTTTTTCGGTTAAGAGTACCAATATTTATCTTTCGGTATGCGCCAATACTGAAACCGGTACTTCCGCTAGCATGGAGCCGGCTTCCTGGGCAATCGGGAAGCCGGGTGGCGGGTAATGACACGCCACCTGGCTTTTTGAATGTCCGGGAGGCCGGCTTGATGATGATTAGTCAGGAAGCTGGGTTCCCAGTCAGTCAGCATGGAGCCGACTTACTGTGGGAAACAGAATTCAGTACCCGCCACCCGACTTCCTGCTTGGTCGGGGAAGCCGGCTCCATGTTCTCTCGCGGCACTGCCGGTCAAAGGAAATCTCCCAGTATCGGAGCATTTGGGCGAGTATGAGTACTCACCAAAACACTCGATATCTGCACAGATACTGATACTTGTATCGGCGCATCGCTGACGTTTATATTTTTAGAGACATGGTTGCTTATTATTAACCCTCCCTGTACTGTGCTGGTGGATCTCATTTTTCATAGTGCTCAAGGTCCGTCCTAGCAAAGGGTTAACGATATGAAGGTGTGGGTGGTACTTTGTACTTTATGGACTTTTTTTTTATAGTGTATTGTTCGGCAAGTTATTCTGAACAGTACAAGCTGCCTGTAGTCCTGCTCTGGTCAATACCATTTCAAGGGATCCTGGGGGGTGTATAGCAGTGCCGAAAGCAGCATAATGCTGACCTACTCATCATTCACTTTGAAAGAACTTTGCTCCATAACAGAGCCTTGGCGACAATCTTATCCCACAGTGTGAAAGGGTGTCCCTGTCCCCCCCCCCCCCCCCATTGTCTGCTGTGGTATCTTCCAATGACCCCTACATCACTATTGTGGCCAGCAGTGACTAGGGGTCAGTAGGAAGGACCACTGCAGGGGGGGGGATCTATTTGATCAGTTAGTGGAGTTGAATAGGATTGGCGTCGGGAGCTCTCCTACAGAGGAGTTTCTACAAATGTAATGGCAGACACGGAGGTGCTGCTTTTGGCATTTTTTACCCCCTTGCCAGGATATTTTTGATATTTTGTCTTTCAAGAATACTCAGCGCTCTTCACCAGGCATGGTGTCATAGTAACAAAGGGATGTGCCTATATTTTGACTTACTGTGCGTTATATATTGCTAAACCGGTACAATTATTTCATATCGTACAACAGGGGTAACCAAACTTTGGCCAAGTAACCAAACTTAGTGGTGAAACTACAAATCCCAGCATGCATATGCTTCTGATAGTCATGTCTGTAGCTGTCAAAGTCTTGCAATGCCTCATGGGACTTATAGTTCCAAAACAGCTGGAGGACCAAACTTTGGCTACCCGTATGTACAAGATACCATAAACTGACAGCAGTCCCTCTATATCCTATAATCGACAATCAGCTGTCATCATGTTCACGGATTCAACACATGAACACACCCGGCCAGCTGTCACTAGCAGCACGCTCACTTAGTTCCCTGGTTCTGTTTTAACTCCTCCCTAATGCGTTCTGATTGCCGGTCACATGACAATACTGAGCATGCGCCGTGTGCTAGTTACCGTCTATCAGGTCCGTATTGGGCGTATGGAGAAATGTTAGTGGCCTATGCACAGCCACGCCCCCAAGCTTTCACTGTTTCCATAGCAGCGGTTACATCCGGGATTAAGGAGGAAGGCGGGGCTTAGAGGTCAATGTGACCGACCGGTACATGTGGCTGTCATGGCTGGGCTGGTGGACTTCAAGAACGAGGAGGAGGTGAAGGGGTTCCTGGACAATCTGGGTATAGAGTATTCCTATGCGTGCTACAAGGAGAAGCAGCCTGATGGTAAGAGCAGAGCCCGGTGTATGGGGGCGGGGTACTACTGATCACTGTCCATACTAAGAGTGGGCTGATCACATACACAGCCACATGTTGCATGTAAACTCCCATGATTGCTGTGTGCTGCCAGTCTCAGCATTCAATGTTATATCGGTCTATAGGGGCATCGTTTTTTTTTCTAATTGGATATTTCATATAGATGTTATGTAACGTATGCTTTAGATCTCCAGTGCCCAGCCTGTGGCCCTTCGGTGCTTGGGGCCAAATCACATTTGATTTGCAGAAACATTATGTGTGTTAATGCATTGTGGTGTGATTCATTTTGAATGGCACCCAAACATACCAAGGCAATGGAGCTCTGAAGCACATGCATTGAAGCATACCACAATGAACTGTAGCACCCATGCGTACTGGTGCACTGCTTCTGTAGAAAATGCCGTATGTCCCATTTTTTTGGTCTATTTTGGTGTATGAGCAGCCCATTCTTCATATGAAAGCCGTACTATAACACAACCACGATAACGTGTTAAAAGAGAACTATGGGGTAAGTGTTTTTCCCCAAAGTTCTCTTTAGGGTCATGGGAGGACATATACTAACCTCCTCCCGTGACCCAAAGCTCAGTATATCGTAAGCAATACTGAGAGTGCCGCAGCTGGGACAGATCCTGACGATGTCTGGATCCACCCAGCTGCGTGAGTGACAGCTGGCTCTGCCCATCTAGAGACAGAGCCAGCTGTGCCCGCCCCCTCCTCCATCCGTTCCTCCACTCAGCGCTGGAGGAGGGAATCCCTGCATGGAGCCGTGACTGACGGGCACCGTTTACTGCAGAGAGACGATCGGGAAGTGAGCAGATCGGCTGCATGTTTCTGCTCACTTCCCAATCGATAGAGCCGACCTGTGACAGCTTCTTTATCACAGGTCGGCTCTAGCTATGAGGATGAGTGGAATGCCCTCACCTCGTAGTTCTCATTTAACTCTGCAATGCACCAGAATGTACAAGTTGAACACTTAATATAGTTGGAACATGGTGTTGAAGGTGGAATTAATACTCGTTGGGTAAGGGTAGCTCATTCATTTGAATGGGCTGGCCAACGCTCCCCAACAGACCAAAAATTGTGCTTGCAGCATTTTCAACAGCATACAGCAACATGTTGGTGATGTCTGGTCCCCCATTGGCCAGCAATTACCTCTCCCCCTTCCACTTCATCTGAGGAAATGTCCCTTGGCGTCCTCGCGTCTAATGCAAGGCTATAGAGCCAGTATTCAATGTGATGTCAGTGGTCCTTAGACCACTGGGGAGAAGAGGCAGCAGGGACTGGTCTAGCTGACTGGTGGGAGATGGCAGGAAAGGTAAGTAAAATCACTTCTTCCTGTCCCCTAGGCGTAATGAGCATAGTCACATATGATCCTCAGTGCTCGTAGCCATCTGAGACTCCATTCCATCCACAGCTGGTAAACGACTGAGCACTTCACCAGGAATGGCAGCCCTCCAATAAGAGCACGGGACATCATCAATAAACCTATAAAAAGAAAAATAAGGCGCCTTTCCTTCGTGTGATATTGTACCAAAAATACATTTTATTAAATGATCTGTAAGATGTCTAGGTTGGGGCGTGTCCCCGAAACCACGTAATAGTAATATCTCTTCCCTTTAAACATGCCAACAAGGAACAGTACTGCTGGACCCGCAAGGTTTACCCTATTTGTGTGACTGTATTGCGATTGCACACCACAGCATAGACTCTGCTGCAGCTCCAAATGCACATGATGTCCTATAAGTTACCAGCTGGTATTTATTCTGGCCGGAGTTCTCCTTTAACCATCCACTGTTCCCTTTTCAGAAACAATGTGAATTGGTCACGGATATAAAATTTGGGCAATGTGTATGTAATCTAAGAAGTCGTTTGCGGGGGAACACTAATCAAATGTCGTCAATGTTTTTCTCAGGCTGCCATCGTTTAGCTGACTACTTGGAAAACATTAAGAAAGACTTTGCAGCAGCTGCAAAAGTGCTGAAACAGAATTGTGAAGAGAACGGGCACAGCGAGAGCTGTTATAAGCTGGGCGCTTATCACATAACTGGGAAAGGTAAGTGTGCAGATAAGTATGTCTGAGGATACTCATACAGTCCGAGAGTCTGTCCTGTCAAAACACTGAGATGCAGATGGACTTATTGAAGTGGGAAGAGCAATGCATGCAGCAGCTAAAAGCAGAGTAGGGGAAGGCTTGTCGGGTTTATATTTTTGCTTTTGTCCCCCCGTTGTAGATCTTCCCTCACTTCCTGTCTATTCAGCAAGACAGGAAGCAAGGGTAATTCTGTGTAACAGAGCCCCAGATGGCAGAAAAAACCCTCAAAAGAAGTTCTAATCCTTCTCCTCTCCAGCCCACCAGCACTCCTAGATATAGGTTTCTGGCTTGACTTGACATACACTTTAAACAGAAAGGAGGGACTGTTTCCACACTGGAGCAGACAGCATCTGGAGCAGTTGCCAATAGCAACCAATTAGCTTCTATCTTCAGTCTGTTCAGTTGAGCTTTGAAAATGAAAGATGGACGATGAGGTTAAATTAGGAGGCATTTAGGAGGTAGATTGTACATTGTAGTACATTTTCATGTTTAATCTTTCAAAAGGAACCACATTTTTTACTTAAAAATAATTTGGCTGTAACCTTCAAAGTTATACAAACTTGCTATACCACATTTTCATTTATTCTATTACAGATTTGTAGATTCTCTGACAGGCTGCTGGTATTTCATTACAGTCACTTGACCTGTCTGATCATCAACTGGTGAAAAACACCCAGAGGGGGTCCATCCTCCGACTTGTATATCACTGCAGAGGATGGAACCACAACTCCCAGAAGGATAAATAGGCATCTGAACCTTCTAAAAGTGTAGAATGCTGCTGCACTGGATTTTAAAATGCTTTTAACATGCATGCATCTAATGCACCCACAGCAGGCTGGTCTGGAATGAACAAGCCCCAAGGGCCCATTGGAGGGAAGACGAGAGAGGGCCATCAGAGAGGTGCATACAAGGGGTGCTGAGAGTTCTAGGTCTGGCCAAGAAGGTAATGACCTATAGAAGGGGTATCCAAACATTGGCTCTCCAGCTGTGGTGAAACTACAAATGCCATCATACACCTGCCTCTAGAAGTAATTCCTGTGGCTGTTAGTCTTGCAGTGCTTTATGGGACTTGTATTTCTTCAATCATCTTCCAGGACAGCAACCTGGAAGTAGGCTTGCTGTCCTGGAAGATTCATAGAAATACTGTTACCGGTAAGTTCTAACGGAGCATTTCCACAACAACTTGAGGGCTGAGGTTTGGCTACCCCTGACCTAGAACCATAAAACTTACAGTAAATGCTATTCAACATATTCACCCCAAAAGTCAATACACTTGGCACATTGTGTCTCAGGTTCCTGTTAACCTTTTAAAAAAATGTGGATGTCTGGTCATTGAACTATTGTCCTGCTGCTACCATCAACTCTGAATCATTCAAAAATGTCCTCCCTTCAAAATTCTTTCTAAGGTTTGGAAACAGGAAATAGATGGAGCAAGATCTGGTGATTGGGGTCTATGCACTGACACCCCAAATTCTTCAAAACCTCCATTGTCTTGTCTTGCCAGCCTTTGACCCAGTGCATTGTTCTGCATAAAGAGAACACCTTTCCGCAGCTTCCATGGCCATTTTTTCTTTAACACCTCCTGTAATCGGCCCATCAGGTTAGAATAGTATTCTGCATTAACTGTTTCTGCAGTCAGTGAGTCAGTGAGTCAGTCAGTCTTCACAATACCTTCCGTATCCCAAAAAAACATGGCTATGACCTTTCTTGCTTCCTATCTTTTGGGTCTTGAATGTCTTCAGCCATGGAGAACCTTCCACCCACTCCAGAGACTTTTGTTTGGCCTCTAGATCAAAGTGGTGTAATCATTTTTCCTCTCCGTTCATTTTTACTGATTTTAGCAGGAAATACAAAAAGGCACAAATATCCACAGGTCGCATGGCAACTACAAATCCCCGTTGTGCTTTGTATATTTGTACAACAGTAAAGGAAAAAGCATGAGCTCCTGCACAGTGACCCAAGTAGAACAAGACCCCTAGATCTAAGGTATCATACCTCATGTCTGCAAGACTCGCAGGAGAAATCAATAGCAAGGAGTGAGATAAGCAGATGAGAAAATTAAAGTGAGAAGAGAGAGAGAACCAGGAGAAAAATAAAGGGGGGGGTGCTCTGCTGTTGCTGTAGAGGAAGGGGAAACCAGGATCATATAGACCTTTGGGATAAGTGTTCTGTAGGACATCAGGCAATGAGTAAAGTTTAGTCAAAGTCAGTGGGCCTATAGTTATCAATCCAAGGTGTGCAAACCTTCTGGAACCTATTCACAGTATCATGTAACATTTCCACAAGTTCTTCATTTAGCAAGTACTGTGTTTCCCCGAAAATAAGACCCTGTCTTATTTTTTTTTGGCTCAAAAAAACACACTAGGTCTTATTTTCGGGGTAGGTCTTATTTTTTTTAATGTACAACAATCCAAAGTTAATGCAAATCCAAATTAAAAAAATCCAAAATGGCAAAGTTTAGACTAGGGTGATCAGGGCAATCAGGGGTGTCATACCTTTCCAAGAGCAATTTAGTAACCAATCGCTGGCCAGAATGAGTGAAGCGCACTTTCACTATCGATTCCTCACAGGCGGAGTGCATTTGGTATCACTCCGCCTGTGGCAGGAGGCGGCGCTATAGAGGAAGCATCAGCTTATGCGACTCTGCTCCCTCCACTGCCCCCTCGGTTCCTCTAGCGCTGGCTTTGTTGGCACCGCTGATTCTCTCCTGCAGCTCTTCAAGTTCCCCCTTATGCCACCACCGGCCCTGGGAATGGTCGCAACTAGGTCTTATTTTCGGGGTAGGTCTTATATTTGAGCAATTCCCAATTTTGGGGGAAACAGGGTATCAGGAGAGTTTCTGAAAATATAAAGATAAGTTTAAATTGGGCTCTACAACCCTTAGGTTTCAGGTTCAGCAAGGCTTCTGAAGGAATTTTGCTACCCAGTACTGTGTACACCATTTGGTAAACCCCTATCTGAAAACATCTAATTTTAGGGCAACTACATAGGGTGTGTAGGATCATCCCTGTCTCGGAGCAATGTTGAAAACAGTGGGGAGAGGCCCCCGGGTCAAACTTAGCTATTCTCTGGGGTACCATATACCAGTGCATAAGTACCTTGAGCTTGGCTTCAGCTGCCATAAAATTAATCGGAACAGTGGCCGATGGTGTCCCATATTTGGGTCCTGCCCCCTGAGCATCTAATTGTTTATCGAGATCCTTGTGTAACCATTTTTCATCAACAGTAACAAGTCATTCCAAAAATTATCACTAGATCACTCCAAACTCTGCAAAATCAACTTGGAGGTATCCATGTGGTTTCTTTTTTGTTGGCATTCAAACATTTCAGCCCCGGCTTGGCTGACAACTTCTGTATACCCAACTGCTCATGAATTAAAAACCCAACATGTTCCTGGGATATCTCTAGCATTCTGTAGTGTCTCAACAATTGCTGCTGTGCCAAAATAAGGTCCTGGACATGAACCACAATTTCAGGAGTTGACACTGTTGAAGGCCTCCAAGATCATGCTGCAGCTTTGGTCCCAAAATCTGAGCGGTAAAAGTTGGCACACTGCTTCTTTACAGTTGAGTATGACGGCTGTTTGCCACTCAATATCTGTATCATACACTCATGGACAGAAACAGAAACTTCATGACAAGTCGGAGTTCAACACTTGAAAAATCTATACTTTTCATTGATGGGGTTTAGTCAATGATCTAAAATAATAGGAGATTAGAGCTACAATCCTGCAAATTTGCACTTTATTATAGTGCAACTGAAGACAATTTTTTTTTTTAGTTCTGGATAGAATGAAGAGGGAAGAATAGAACACCTGTCAGGGTTTCATTGCTGTCTGTGTCCCCTACATGTCCTGGTGACCGTTATCACTGAAAGTGATTGAAAATCCCAAATTTTGGGTTGTCATCAGAACAGATGGGAAATCTTCCAACAGGGACACTAGGTTGGCTGACCCTGCTGGCCACCAAAGATTTCTCACACTTTGGAGGGGTTTCCTCTCCCTTCCTTTTGTGGCTATCGAACAGGGAAAAAAAGCTGACAAGGGTTATAACCCTCCCTTACTATTTTTAAAACTTTAAAAAAAAAAAGTTTTGGTCTCCGTTCTACTATAAAGAACACTCTTTCTGGCTACAGTAATAGAATTATGCTCAGATCTTAGGAAGTGGGTCAGGCCAAGAACATTTCAGCACCTCCTCGTATAAGAACACTTCTATTGCAGGGAGCTTTCATTTTTATTAATTTTATATTTTTTGTGTTAACGCTGATCCGCTCCGGCTGCGGCGTCTCAGTATACCGCGGGCTGTAGCTCGCGGTATACTGAGCTGAGGGTGACGGGAGGACGCTAGTTTGTGTCCTCCCGTTACCCTAAGGAGAACTATGGGGAAAACACTGATCCCATAGTTCTCCTTTTTAAAGGTGGATTTTTTTTTTCATATAACCACTTAGAAGAGCTACAGTATGATCTCTTGATTGGAGACGTTTGTAACCTGTTCCTTTTGTGTCCTGCAGGGGGAGTACCGTTGGATCTGAAAGCTGCTTATAACTGCTTCCTAAAATCCTGCAACAAGGGAGGGAGGAAATCCTTAGACGCCTGCCATAATGTCGGCTTGCTATTACAGGACGGTCATGTGAATGATAAGAAACCTGACCCCGTTGCTGCCCGAGACTATTACACAAAGGCCTGCGATGGCAAATTCTCTGCAAGCTGCTTTAACTTGAGTGCAATGTACTTGGAAGGATCTCCTGAGCTACCCAAGGACATGAGCAAAGCCCTGTGCTACTCCGAGAGAGCCTGTGACCTGGGGCACATATGGGCATGTGCCAACGCCAGCCGAATTTACAAACTGGGGGATGGGGTCAGTAAAGACGGCGCCAAAGCAGAAACCTTGAAAAACCGCGCAAAAGAACTATACAGAATGCAGAAGGAAGCTGAGCAGATAACCTTTGGAGAATGAAGGACATAGAAAAGGATTTTTATATAAGATGTATAGCTCCTTCTCAATGTACGAACTGAGTTTAGTACATCCAAGAGATTGATAATGTAATGTGTTAAACGTGTTCTCATCTCAGTCTTTCCATTTAAAAAAAATATATAGTCTGGATTTTCCTTGAAGGATGCGTTTTGCGTCCTTCTTGTGTGTGTCTTTAAAGGAGATATAAATCCTAAACGGGTGACAGTTAGGGGTCTATTTATAAAATGTTTGCAGAACAAACCGCTTTGAACAGCTAAAGTTTTTGATTTGCAGAGAATTATAGCCACTACAAGGAGCCAAAGAGCATAGGAAATTCCTATGCTCCTCGGCTCCATCTAGTGGCCATAATGTGCTGCAAATCTAAAACGTAGACATTTGCAGAGCTGTGCGATCTTAAAACATTTTATCAATACGCCTCTAAATGGGTTAAAGTACAATATATCATAAAATACTTATTTTTAATAAAATGCTTGACGTCACAGTTTTATCAGTTATTTTACATCTCAGTGCTGCGGATATCCTGCACCCTTTTCTATTCAATTCCTGTCTCCTGACCATGCCTGAGCAATGTGTGTTGGCATGGCTGTTTGTAGTCTCTACCAGTGACGGGCAAAAACTACAGGAACACAACTGAGAGACAGTTGTCACCCCAAAACAGGAAGTGTCTGAAGATGGACCTTCATTATAAGATCACCATGGGATATTTTAATGAGAATAGCAGACTTAAAAAGACCAAAAATAGCATTTTAAATGTACGGATTTATATAAAGATACTTGCGGTATATCTACTTGTCTAAAGCTTGTATGAGAGTTTAGTGAATAGGTTTAGATTTATTTAAAAGGACAAAGCACCTTTGAAACAAGTGATCCTTGTAGGGCATCCCCAATCCACTTGGTCTAGGACAGTGGTGGCGAACCTTGGCACTCCAGCTGTTTTGGAACTACAAGTCCCATGAGGCATTGCAAGGCTCTGACAGTAACAGACATATAACTCCCAGAGGCAGATGCATGTTGGGATTTGTAGTTTTGGCACAGCTGGAGTGCCAAGGTTCGCCACCACTGGTCTAGGACATACATCGGATGTAGTTTGGTCCCTTGCTAATTTTCTCCAAGCTTCCAAGAGTTTCAGCAAAGCATATTCTTACTTGCTACTGTTATGTCTTTCCAGTAGGTTCCTATGTTGAGTGCTAAGTAGAAGGGTCTGTCTCTAAGGCTGGGCACACACCTTACAACCATCGCAAGACCTTTTGTCTTGCGATGGTTGTAAGGTACTTAAAAAAACGTACGATCTGCCTATCTTGGACAGGCAGATCGTACTTGCGATGATTGCAAGCCGCGCCCCCCTGAGGGGCGGGCTTCTGATGACCGCAATGCCGAACGGGCAGTGTGCGCTTTGCGTGCATGGCTACCACACACCTTACGATAATCGTACGATCGCGGGATTTCCCGCGATTATCGTACGATTATCGCAAGGTGTGTGGGGACCTTAAAGGTGCCCATACACCTTACGGATTTTTCTGTGGTCAGATGCAAAAAGTGCAACAGATTGGCCCAGGTGGGAGTACTCCATCCACACAGTTTAGTGTAGATGGAGGAATCTGTTGCACCTTTTCCATCTGACCATAGAAAATCTGCAGATAATCTATAGGTGTATGGCCAGCTTTATACTCACATGACCAATCCCAATGTTGTAAGAGAAGCCTTGCATGCCTGCAGACATTTAGCACTTAATAGCCTCTATATCGCCGTCATTATGGGTTTACTGTAATGAAGCCAAGTACAGTGCTGCAGATGCCTGAAACGTTACATCAAGCTCTGTGCAGACATATGAGAATGCAGATAGACAATCACATTAGAAAGGTGATGAAGGCGTTTTTTTGTGAATTTTAGAAAGCTATAATTAACTACACTGAAAAGAAAAGGTACCCTTTATAAAGCCAAAGAAAATCTGTTCATAGATAAAACTAAGTTTGCCAAGGCTTTGCTTAACCTATTCCAAAACAGTGCTGCAGGGAGTTACCATAACCCAGGTATCTGCAGCGTGCAAGCTCCAAAAAAAGACAATGCTGAAACATCCCTCGGGGTAATGCTTCGACTTGGCAACATAAAACTACATGAGAGTTGTCCCATACTATATGCGGGTGGCAGTATTTCTCTGTGTCATGTACAACTTCCAGTTTTTTTAGAAATGTCTGCAAGCACCAAGGTTCTGGGGTTCTCAAGGGTACCCTGTAGCTGTATTTTGGTCAATGATGCCAACTGACAGTGCAGGGCACCTTGTGTCATTGGAAAAGATTAGAGCAATGACAGGTATACTCTAAATTTTAAAATGGCTTGTATGGCAGTTCCAAAAATATATTTGTAACAAAAGTTTTCTGTTAACTGGACTTGGGTAACAAGCTGTCATGCACACAGAGATTTCAATACGTGTAAAAAAAAAAGAAACTACAAAACAAATGACTCCACTAGGGATGCACCGATACCATTTTCTCCAGACCGAGTACTGATACTTTTCCTCAAGTACTCGCCGATTACTGATCCCTTTTTTAGTGTCATGTGACAGTTCTTCGAAAACAATACAAACTAATCATTTTAGGACAGTGGTGGTGCACCAGAGCCCGGTCGCAGTTGGGACTGCTGTGACACTGTCAGTTCTGTCACTGAATCCAGGATGTAGAGGGACTACAAATCTCAGCAATACATTATCTAGCAATGCGGAATACTCCCAGCTATGGAGAAGTATAAATCTCAGCAATACATTATATGACAATGCAAGATACCATCAGCTATAGAGTACAACAAATCCCAGCAATACATTATAAAGCAGTGCAGAATCCCCCCCAGCTATGGAGAAGTATAAATCTCAGCAATACATTATACAACAATGCAGGATACCATCAGCTATAGAGGACTACAAATCCCAGCAATACATTATATAGCAGTGCAGAATCCCCCCTAGCTATGGAGGAGAACAAATCTCAGCAAAACATTATACAACAATGCAGGATACCATCAGCTATAGAGGACTACAAATCCCAGCAATACATTATATAGCAGTGCAGAATCCCCCCCAGCTATAGAGGACTACAAATCCCAAAAATACATTATACAACAACGCAGAATAATACCATGAGCTATAGAGGACTACAAATCCCAGCAATATGTTATACAGCAATGCAGAATAATAGTATATGAATTAGTTACATATTTTGTGCTGCCACTTTGCTCCAGAGTGCCGGCCTGATGTTTTGGGTGAATGGTCTCGGGAGGGAGAAATGTGCGGAGGCTCTTAGGAGACGAAGATGTCTGGGCTGGTGGAAGCGCTGTAAACAGGCGCCGTGTGGTTCCCGAGAAGGCTCCCGAGAGGTCCATAGCAAGCGCGGGACCTAAGGCAGCCGTTTCAATTTGAAAAACTAAAGCTTTGGTATAGGGTACTGGTTCCAATACTGGTATCGGTACATCCCGAGACTCAACCAATCGATCTTTGTGTACTCATTTATTTATTTTTTTAATGTTTAGGGACCTGAAGTAAGCTGAGATTTTTTTACCAATCAGCCTTAGGTCTGTTGCTGTCATAATCAGGCTTTTCCATGGCTCTGTCTGTTTTGTATATATAAAGAATTTACACAAAAAAAGTAGGCTTTTCCATTCCACAGCAATGCTACATGTTAAAATGCAAAATGTTGCGTTTGACCTAATTTGCCGGAAATGTAAACTCGCCAAAGTGGCATTCAGAGAAATCCAATACAAAGCAGGTCCAGCTCAGCTTCAGAACTGTCTTTTATACGTATCATTGAGGCAGGGCCGGTGCTAGGATTTTTGCCTACACAGGCAAAGTTGCATTTTTGCGCATTTTTGAGACTCATGCGAAGAGCTGCGAGTAGGAGGCAATGTGCAATACAATGACAGCTGCCAGTGCCTGTGGCTGTTCCCTTGTGATTGCATACTCTGTGATTACCTGCGGATGATCACCCCCAGACACAGACTGTGTCCAGAAACGATTGTCCGCTGGTAATCACAGAATGTGCGATCACATACAAGCGGCTGCTGGTGCTGGCAGCTATCATTGTATTGTACAGCTCCTCCAATTCACATGAGTGTCACAGAACAATTGGTGAGACTTCTGTAATCGCACTCATGTGTAAGTGTGAATGGGGCGTTAAACATCTTCATCCTTGCCAACATATTTGTTCTGTTATTAGATGTAGTTCTCTCATCTCACAGCTAGGGAGCAATAGTGCTTCATTAATCTTCAACATTTCTGGCACTAGACAGCTGAAAATCAAACATTTTAATTGAATTTCAAAAGTTAAAGTGGAACTCCAGGAATTTTTAAAAAATCTGTGTTACAACAAGTTAAGTCTTAGGAGGTGTGTGCCAGCTCCTGGACAGCAGCTTTTTATTTAGTATCTCTTTTTATTCTGTATGTATGGACTCTGCACAGTAGCACTTTTATTGTCCTGTGTGCCGGGTGTAATTCTCAGTATCTGTTCTTATTCTGTATGTATGGACTCTGCTAAGTACCACTTCTCTTGTCCTGTATGCCGGGTGTAATTCTCAGTATCCGTTCTTATCCCGTATGTATGGGCTCTGCACAGTAACACTTCTCTTGTTCTGTATGCCGGGTGTAATTCTCAGTATCTGTTCTTATTCTGTATGTATGGACTCTGCACAGTAGCACTTCTATTGTCCTGTATACTGGGTGTAATTCTCAGTATATGATATTATTCTGTATGTATGGACTCTGCACAGTACCTCTTCTCTTGTCCTGTATGCCGGGTGTAATTCTCAGTATCTGTCCTTATTCGGTGTGTATGGACTCTGCACAGTACCACTTCTCTTGTTCTGTATGCTGGGTGGAATTCTCAGTATCTGTCCTTATTCGGTGTGTATGGACTCTGCACAGTACCACTTCTCTTGTTCTGTATGCTGGGTGGAATTCTCAGTATCTGTCCTTATTCGGTGTGTATGGACTCTGCACAGTACCACTTCTCTTGTTCTGTATGCTGGGTGGAATTCTCAGTATCTGTCCTTATTCGGTGTGTATGGACTCTGCACAGTACCACTTCTCTTGTTCTGTATGCCGGGTGTAATTCTCAGTAT